CCGTCCCCCAAATCAGGCTGTCATGTCGAGGTCTCACTGTACAGAAGTAAGGTTGACACTAGCCTCTTATTTCATTTTTCTTGGCTGTTGGCCTCACCCGATTGGCTGTGTTTGCCTTAGGGGTTGGTTTGAAATAATTTTTTCTGAACATCAGATAAAAAGAGAGTACACTATTGACTAATTTGGGTACTTTTTTTTTTTTAATATATTTTTTTCTTAATTGATTTTAGAGAGAGAGATAGAAACATTGATGAGAGAGAACATTGACTGGCCACCTCCTGCATGCTCCTTACTGGGGATCTGGCCCACAACCTGGGCATGTGCTCTGACTGTGACTTGAACCGGTGACCTCTTGGTGCAGGGGTCAACGCTCAACCACTGAGCCACACCGGCCTGGCTAATTTAGGTACATTTTTTTAAAATCCTCACCCAAGGACATTTTTCCATGTTTTGTTCAGATAGAGCGGGAAGGGAGCGGAGGGGAGGGGAGAGAGAGAGAGAGAGAGAGAGAGAGAGAGAGACAGACACATCAAGTGGCTGCCACCCACACGACCCAACCAGGGCCGGGGACAAACTGCAACCCAGGTACGTGCCCTTAGTGGGAACCAAACCCGGGTCTCTCTGGACCGCAGGCCGACGCTCTAACTGCTGAGCCAAACTGGCCAGGGCTGATTCAGGTACTTTTATGTGAAGATGCTGTGCCCAGACCACCCAGGTGGCATTGAAGTGTGTGCCCCAGTGGAACCTCCCTCCGGCCCAGCCTTACAGACAGCACAAACAGGCCACCAGACGCTGATTTTAAGAAAAAGTCTTAATGCACGCCCATAGGCAGGGAGTTTTTATTACCAGTATTATTACATGGTTGGAAAATAATTTTAACATTTTGGCTGTTTTAAATTGTGTGTCCAGCCATGACTGGTTTGGCTCAGTTGTTAGAACATTGGTGCGCGGACTGAAGGGTTGCAGGTTCGATTCCTGGCCAAGGGTATGTTCCTGGGTTGCAGGTTTGATCCTCGTCGGGGTCATGCAGGAAGCAGCCAGTTGATGTGTCTCTCTCACATCGATGTTCTTTCTGTCTCTCCCCCCACCCCCTTCCATTTTATCTAAAAATCAGTGGAAAACTATCCTTGGGTGAGGATTAACAAAAAATTTTAAAAAATAATTATGTCTACTTACACTGTAAAGCAAATGTTAAGTTTCAGACTCTCACGTAAAGACGCCGTGCCATGTAGTGTTGGGTGATGGAGCGTCTGTGTGTTACTGCCATTACTGCACCTGTCCCTTGGACACACTAAGGGGCACGCAGTCTCACCCACGCCCACACTCTCCTCCCTCACCCACACTCACAGGCACTGATATTCACACACAGTCACTCGCCTACGCTGACACTCACCCACACTCGCCTGCACGCCCAGGAGCCCCTGGACAGGTGAGGACAGTGTGTGAGGGCCGTGATGGGTGAGCTGTGCTGAAGTGTGTCCTCAGCAGGGCTTCTTCCCAGTGGAGGTCCCCAGGTGAGTCCGAAAGTGCCTGGTCAGCGTGTGGTGCACCTGGGCTGACCTGCATTTTCGTCTGGATACAGTAAAAAATGGTGTGAGAAGGATCAGAAAAACAGTAACTGGGTAGGAACACTGCGTTTACCTTGCACTCTGGTGCGTCAAGGCCGGAGGGCTCCTTCAGTCCTTAAGATCTGGTGGTCCTGCTGGGGTGGAGAAGGGAGCGTGGTCTCCGAGGGCTGCCCGCTGCTCAACTCCCGCCACTCCCCACCCTGGCGGGTGCCCTGGCCTCCTGAACGGGCAGCTGTCGGGGCCCTCCATGCCGGTGAGCACGCGCAGCTCAGCTGCAGCCCGCGGGGCGGCCTTCCTGGTGCTGGTGGAGGGTGTGATGCTTTGAGTGTGACTCTGAAGCCAGAGCTTTCCCACCAGCACGGACGTTGTAGATACATGTCAGGTGATGCATCATGTAGCACCGAACATGGTCTTTGAGGAATGTTAAGTGACATGGAATTATGATGTAAGAAGTGGAAAGGAGGAAATACAGAAGTGAACATCCACACAGGGACCTGAGTTTTCTTCCCGGCATCGAAGTGCACAGGCCGCGGGCGGCGGGCAGAGCAGGGGCAGACGTGTGCAGCCGGCGACCGAAGGGTGCGGGGTTGGGACCTTCCGTGCCCTCGCACCTGCCTCATTTCTTTTCTGTTGTGAACAGAGGAAACCCTAGGTTGTCTTCTCCCTGCCCGATCTGTGCGTCACAGTTACTGCTCCCGCCGGCCGTCGGCTCCGGTTCCGGGTGGCCGAGTGGGAGGCTGCAGATGAGGAAGGAGGTCGCCGGCGAGGGGTTTGGGAGGGTGGCCCAGGCCAAGGTGGGGTTTGATCAGGAGGCAAAGCCCTAGTTCATACTCCCGCCACCCCTGTTAACTGCCTTTCGGAACTGACCTGTTGGCCTGGGACTGACCGCGTTGGCGGGAAGGAGAATCCGAAGGGGCTGCTGACATGGAAGTCGTTGACTGTCAGCTGTGGTCTTCTTCCCCAGTAAGGTTGGACGGACTTGGCCCATGGCACACAGCCCTTCTTGGACACTGTGGAAGCGAAGCAGCCAGAGGGCGTGTGTGGAGGGGAAAGGCGCTGGGCACTCGGTGGCCGCTCTGTAAGGCGTGGGCCACACCTGCAGGGCTCCTTCTCCGATGGAGTCAGACGGATGGCGACCCCAGGCTGGTGCTGCCTGTGAGCGCAGGCTGTTCTTTCTTCACAACCTTTGTTCTAAAATTTTCAGTTACATTTTGGGAGAGAGCTGTGTTTCTTTGCCTTTTCCATGAATACATACTTTCTGTGTGTCTGACATGAGGGAGTAGAACCAGTCTACAAGATCCAGAGCTGTGATAATGTCATTAAAACTGGCGTTGATGCAGATGTTGGTGTTGGAATGTGTCTGACTTTCCGCCTGTGATGGTGATACATTGTAACCAGGAGGCCAGAGGAAAACACACCCTAGCACAGCCTGCACGCCCACCATGTGTGTAGACAGACTTCCCTTCCCCTAAGGAGCGCTGGTGGCTGGAGTGGAGCACTGTTTCTGTAGCCGCCGAATTGCCTGTGTGCGGTGGCTGTCATTCTCTCGCTTACCCACTTCACATCCACTCGCAGATTCCGTGAAAGGATGTCTTTGTTGGTGTCAGAGAGAGAGGAAAGGAGAGGGGGGGGAGAGAGAGAGATCTTGGGTGTGAGAAACATCAGTCAGTTGCCTCCCCAAGTACCTGACGGGGGTCAAACCCAAAACCTGGGACACAGAACCTGGGCTTGTGTCCCACCCAGGAATTCCACTGGTGACCTCTCTGTGCATGGGCAACGCTACAACCAGCTGAGCCACAGTGGCTGGGCGTGCAGATCCTTCAGTACCCGAGAGGCTGAGTCCCTGCTTGAAGTCCCAGCCCTGGCAGGACCTGTGACTCCCTCCCTGACTTGTTCTAACCACAGGCAACTTGCCAACAGCGTGTTTTCTTACACTTTTACTTCATTAGCATCTTAACCACACTGCAACTTCATGAATATTTATTACTTAAGTATTTCTTTAACTTTTCATCAATGTAACTTTTTAATCAACAAAGCATCTGGTAACTAGAGTGTAGACCCTGGCTGCCATGTTACCAGTGTGACGTTGGGCATGAAGCTGTGGTGCTGCTGAGCCTCCTGTGGCCCTGGTCCTGCCAGCGGTGACTCAGTGTCTAGAGTCCTGAAGGAGGAGCAGGGTCCCACGTGGACAGATGAGTGGTGGTGGTTCGAGAGGGTGGCACGGGGTTTCGCCACGTTTTCTCTTCTGTGGTCCCCAGCACAGCATGGACCTGGGTGGTGGCTGGGCAGTCGGCGACGTCCTACACCCGACTTCGGTGGCTGCACGGCTGTCTCCAGCTGCCCTCGCCAGCCCAACCAGCTCCCTGGTTTGGGGGATCTCAGCAGCCTGGTTTTTTGATTTGTTTTGTTTTGGTGATTTCAGCATGGTTTATTTTAAAAGGGATGCTAATGGGCATAAAGGTGGTTCTTTTGGGTCAAGAATTGTAGACGTGAGCCTGGGGAGGTGTGACGCCCACAGGACACCCTCGGCCTGGCTCACTCTTTCCCGAGAGGGCCGTGTGCACCTGTGCCCGAGGGGAGGGTGGAGACTTGGCCAGTGGCTGGGCCAGCTGCTGCGGCCTTGCCGGAGGCCGCGAAGGTCCCCTCGCAGCGCTGCCCCGCCTGTGGGAATCGCGCGTGCAGGTGGAGCGTGGTCTGAGGGCACGGGCACGTGAGAGCTGGTCCTCGAAGCTGGAGTCAGTGCCGAGCCTGCGTGATTGGGCTGCGTTCCGGCGACACAGCTTGAGCACACAGTGTGAGTGGTTCTCCCTACCTGTGTTGTGGTCCTTCCCTGTGTGCCGTGGGCACCATGCTGCCCACACCCAGAGGGCGAGGCGCCTGGGTGCCACGGGGTCCTGTGCTGGAGGGAATGTCTGTCTGGGGCTCCACAGGATAGCAGGCTGGGAAGTCCAGGGTGTGGCTGTATCTCTTGGGTCCTAGCTTCCCCTGGTCACAGGAGTGGTGGGGGGAGGGTGGAGCACCTGCCCCGGGCTGTGCTGGGGTCTGAGGCTCCAGGTGGGACCTCAGACCTCTCCCTGCCACCTGCCACCTTGTGAGCACTTGGCAGCCTATGTGGGAGAGAGTGTGTGCCTGTGGGGATTCTGCCAGGCCCTCGGCATCCCTGTGCCCACGTCCTCCTCTGGAGTGGGTGGACGCCCTGAGGCCAGCGCGGGGTGGGGTGGCGGCAGTGTGGCTGCAGGAGCACACAGGGAGCCCCGCTGCTCTGTGGCCTCCGTGGGCCAGGCCCATACGTGCCGCGTCCCGTGCGTCTTGTCTGGTGTGCTGTCCAGCACTCCGTGTGTCACCACTGGTCCTGTTTGTCCTCTGAGCCTCCAGGCCTCCCCCAGAGCCCCTGCCTCCCGGGCTCTGACGCCAGGTGTCCTTTGTCCCCAGGTATGGTCCTCGTGCGCAGCGAGAACGGGCAGTTGCTAATGATCCCTCAGCAGGCCTTGGCCCAGATGCAGGCCCAGGCCCACGCTCAGGCCCAGCCTCAGACCACCATGGCGCCCCGCCCTGCAACCCCCACAAGTGCCCCACCTGTCCAGATCTCCACCGTCCAGGTGAGTCATGCGTGCACCCCGCGCCTGCCCAGGCCGTCTGGCTGGCGTTCTGCCCTACCAGCGGGTGACGACGCTGGCGTCCTGGACAGCCCAGCGCGGAGGGGCTGGCTGAGTCCTGAGCAGTGACGCTTGGCCCGGCCCTGCCCTCTCCCGGCGACCCCAGCTGCCCACGCCTCAGTTTCCTCTCCGCGGAGTGGCCAGTGTGCTGGGCTCACACCGCAGAGCTGCTGCGGGCCCGAGCTGAGGCTTGAAGTCTGATGAGGGACAGGGAGCACAGGAGGGCTCGGCCAGGTCCTGCCGACTAGGCCCCACCTTCCCCACAGGCGCTGGAGGCTGTGCTGGGCCAGGTTCCGAGGCTAAGGAGCGGCGGGGCTGCCCATGCCCATGCCCATGCCATGGCTTCCCTGTGGGCCCAGCACGGTCCCCTCTTTCTCTGTCTGCTGCGTGTGTCTGCTGCTCTGAGCTAGTGGTCTGGTTAGTGGCGGACGTGGAGACGGAACGCTCTCGAAAACCGCTCCTCCGTGATGTCGGCGCGTCCCCTGGGTTGGCGCCCTGCACTGAGTGGGCAGCCTGCGTCTGCTGGAGGCACACGGGCCCTTCGCTGTGGGTGGGCAGCAGCTCAGTCTCCCAGGTCTGCTGTGTCCCTGGCAGGCAGACCACGTGGTCGTGGCCTCATGTGAGCTGTTGGCTGCGTGTCGCTGTCCGGCCTCAGCGTTGTTTCCCGCCTCCTCCCAGCCCACCCTCATCGTCCCCTTGTTTGGACGCGAGCCATCTGCTGGTCAGGCTGAGGTGTGGCCGGTCTTTAGAGCCAGGGGACATGCTTCTTACTGCCTTCGCCACTCTGGTGCTTTCGGACGGAATCACAAGTCGTCCCCCCGGGACGGGTTCCCGGATACATGAGTTCCTCACGGACCACGTGGGTAGCGTTGATAGAGATGTCCAGGGCACTCTCCATGCGGTGCAGGGAGGCAGCGAGCCCGCACTGACGGTGACACACCTCGGGACTAGGGTGGCTCTGTGGAAACTGTGAACAGACTTGTGTTCTGAGTTGATTTGGGGGCACGGGTGGTAGGGGATGCTCACACTGTTGCTCCTTTTAGATGAGTCTTGCTTGTTTTCCAGGCACCCGGGACGCCTATCATCGCCCGGCAGGTGACCCCAACAACCATAATCAAGCAGGTGTCTCAGGCGCAGACGACGGTGCAGCCGGCCGCCGCACTGCAGCGTTCACCCGGAGTGCAGGTGAGGCCGTGGCCTGGGCGCAGGGGCAGTCAGCTGGGGTGTGGCCGCGGGGCAGTTTTGGGAGGAAGGCTGCCCCGAAGAAGGGGGTCTTTCTCTGACGAGCAGCACAGGCTGGGCAGGGTTCCTCTTTAAAGCGGCACGGACTGGGCACTGGTGCACTTTGAAGCTGCGCTCCGCCAGAGGACAGGAAGGAGCCTCGTTCATGGGTGGCAGGCAGTCGGAGGAGCGGGGCCTTGTGCTCGTGCGGAGAGCCGTGTGCCCCTGTCACCCCAGCACCGCAACTGCGGTCTGTCCTTGGCCCTGTCCTGCCTGTGTGTGCCACTGTCGGGGGCTGTGCCGCTCCCCACAGCTCAGCCTCTGGTGCCCTGGCCAGGCTGGCCCCTCCGGTCACAGCGGAGGACCTGGTGAAGCCAGCAGGTCGGAGCAACCGGAGCCGGGTGTGGTGCTGAGAGCAGGTTCTGTGGCTCTGGCCAGGTGTCACCAGGCATCTGCGTGGGCCCGGGCTGCGCTTTGCCACGTTGCTAGTCTGTGTTGGTCCCCTGGCAGTGCGGGGCTGTCGGTGCCGTCCTGCGTTCCTTTTGAGGCAGCCACGGCCCAGGGTTAGCTGGAGCGGTGAGGGGTAGAAGGTCTGGAGCAGCCCCATATCCCCCCACCCAATCTCGTCTTCCTGTCCCTGTGGCACCAGGAGTGGGTGGTCGGGCTGCTTCACACCTGGAAGGGCCGCCGAGGAGTTGGGACTTTCCAGGACGCAGGCTTAAGCCTCGAGTGGGGTCTGGTTGGCACACCTGAGTTCCCACTGCACAGGAGAGGTTCCCAGAAGGCGGTGGGGCATAGGCAGCTTGGTGGCCGCTTCTGTGCAGACAGTGTGTCTCTCCTAAGTGGGAACTGCTGGGGCCGGCAGGAGCCAGTGTGGGGACAAGTCCTGGTGTGAAGGAAAGACCTTGAGGATGAGAAGCACCCTGCGTGCTCTCCGCTGCCCCTGCTGCCCAGAGGTGGCAGCGGTGGTTTTCTCCCTGAGGTTTGAGTTTGACGTTTGCTGGTGACAAGAGTGATGATTCATGCTTCATGTTACAAGTGGAAGCAGACAGACTGTAAAGAAAAGCCGTCACCACCTGCAGCTCCTTGGCTTCCCCAGAAGCCGGTGTCTGCAGCCTGGGGGGTGCCTTGGGGGGGGCCACCGGGCACCACTGAGGCAGGCACAGGGGTTGCACTGCTCCTGCTTCCAAAAGTCGTAAGAAAGGAGCATTTGAAAAAGGGGAGAGACAGTGTTGAAGGCTAGCTTTATAAATTGGCTGACCAATTGAGAAAACCAGTTTGTTTGCTCATGACCCTGCTGCCGAACCACTGCCAGGAGCCCGACCTCTGCAGCGGGTGGGACTGCCCCGTGGTGCGTCTGGCTGTCCGTTCGTTCAGCAGGTGGCCCTCCGGACTTCCTCCGTTTCTCCCGTTGCTCCCAGCCCCCCTCGTGATGCTTCTTGATGAGACTCACTCCTGCAGAACAAGGACAAGGCCAGTCCGGCGGTGGAAGGGGCTGGGGCCCAGCCCACCATCACAAGTGGCCTGTGGGAGGGCTGGCTTGTCACAGGCTCTGCACAGGCCAGGCAGCGGCGTTTTCTGCTGCACTTGGTCTGTTTGGCTTTTGTACTTTCTGAGGATGGGATCTGGTTTGCTTATTAAAAAGTAATTTGGCGTGTTCGGTTTGGCTCAGCGGTTTGAGCATCGGCCCGAGAACCAAAGGGTCTCGGGTTTGATTCCTGGTCAAGGGCATGTACTTGGGTTGCAGGTTCTGTCCTGCCCTGGTCGAGGTTGTGCAGGAGGCAAGGCATCGATGTGTCTCTTTTACATCGATGTTTCTCTTTCTTTCTCCCTGTCTCCCACTTTCTCTCAAAATCAATGCAAAAATATCGTTGGGTGGGGATTAACAATAACAAGGTAATTTGTACTGGTCACAAGGTAACTTTTAGGATCAGCTTCTGAGAACAAGGTTTCTCCAGCGACTGGCTTTGTTTTTATCATTTTGATGCAGGTGCAAATCTGACTTCTTGGGCACTGAGCACTGCAGTGCAGGGCACGGCCCGTCTCTGTGGCCGCGGATCCCCAGGGGGCGTGTCCCCCAGCACATACGGCCAGTGAGGCTCACCCCAGCAGGCCAGTGTACGCAGCCTCAGTTGACCTCATGTTTTGGATTCTTGCAGCCTCAGCTTGTTCTGGGTGGCACTGCCCAGACAGCTTCTCTTGGGACGGCAGCGGCTGTTCAGACGGGGACACCTCAGCGGACTGTCCCAGGGGCCACCACCACCTCCACAGCTACCACGGTGAGTGCCGCCTGCCTCGCGTGCCTCTGGGGCCAGACGGCGTGTGTGGAGGACCCCACGCTGACAGAGGCCCGGACTGACTCTGGGAGGAGCCAGGTGAACTGTGGCGCCCGTGTGCAGAGCAGCGCGGCCCACTCGGCGTGTGCCCGCGCATCCTGCCTGCAGGGGTCTTCGGCCCGGGCCGCACTTTGTCTCCGGCTTCTCACCAGCGCTGGTCACGGCGCCCCACTCAATGCCTTTCCGTCGTCTGGGCAGATGCAGGTTTTTCTGTACGTGAACCAGCGCGGTGGTGACCGTCCTACGGAGTCCTCTCACACTTGCATTTCACTTGGTTACGTTTCTGGGAGGGAGTTGCCACGGAGTGAGGTGTGAGCTGCGCCCCTCTCAGCTGTGAGGTCGTGTCCTCGGACGCAGGCCGGGTGATGCCCGTCAGCAGGCAGGAGAGCACTGGACGCCCTCGAGAGGGGTCAGGGAGGAGACACGTGTTTCGTGTACGTGTTGTAGCTGAACCAGTGATGACGAGAATCTGTGTGAAGACTTTCTCACTGGTGTTTTTATTTTTTTTTATCCTCACCCGAGGATATTTTTCCATCTTTTGTACAGATAGAGTGGGAGGGAGAGAGAGAGAAACATCGAAGGGACACATCGAGTGGCTGCCACCCGCACGACCAACCAGGGCCGGGGACAAACTGCAACCGAAGTACGTGCCCTTAGCGGGAACCGAACCCGGGTCTCTCAGGACCGCAGGCCGACGCTCTAACCGCTGAGCCAAACCGGTCAGGGCTTTTTTTTTTTTGCTGCTCAGGTAGAGTGGGAGGGAGAGAGAGGAACAGAGAGAGAGAGAAAAACATCGATGTGAAAGGACACATCAAGTGGCCGCCACCCGCACAACCGACCAGGGCCGGGGACAAACTGCAACCGAAGTACGCGCCCTTAGCGGGAACTGAACCCGGGTCTCTCAGGACCGCAGGCCGACGCTCTAACCACTGAACCAAATCGGTCAGGGCTCAGTGGTGTTTTTTCAATCCGAGTGCAGGAAACTATGGAGAACGTGAAGAAATGCAAGAACTTCCTGTCCACGCTGATCAAGCTGGCCTCGTCCAGCAAGCAGTCCACAGAGATGGTGGCGAAGGTGAAGGAGCTGGTGCAGCACCTGCTGGTAAGGCCCTGCCCTGTCCCCAGGCGACGCCTGGCCTGACACCTGGCCTGCCCGGCCGGCAGGAAGGAGGCCTGGGAGAGCTGTCCCGCACGGCTTCCTCCCAGAGGCTCAGCCCTTGGTGGGGTTGTCGTCTCCAAGGAAAGTGTCCCTGACACCTGCACCTGTGTTGGCAGCTCTGTGACTGTGATGGGGAGGTTCCCTCAGGCTGGTCTAGTCCTGGCAGGATGGCTGGCACGTGGTCAGTGCCGGGCAGTGTTGTGACAGTTGGTGAGGGAGACCAAGGGTGGGCTGGTCAGCCTGCAGCCGGGCGTACACCCAGGACGCCCAGGTCGGCCCGAGCATGCACACAGTGACCCTCCTGTCGCCTCCGTCCAGCGCAGACCAGGCAGGGCCCGGGAGGCCAGAGCAGCGCCGCACCAGGAGGGTGTGTGCGCTTCCAGCCCTGCAGGGATTTCACGCGAATTTTCTTTCCAAGGACGGAAAAATTGAAGCAGAAGATTTCACCAGCTGGTTGTACCGAGAACTTAATTCTTCACCTCGACCTTACCTTGTGCCTTTCCTGAAGGTACTGGCAAAGCCCTTCCCGTCCGTGCTGCCCCGGGGGGAGCGGCCACACAGTGGGCACCACAGGTTGAGAGCTTGAAGCACCGCAGCAGAATGTGCAGCGTCCTTTTGGGAGCTGTTCTGGGGTCTGAGACCTCAGCGCTGCCAGCCTTCTGGGGTGCGTGCAGCGAGCCTAGGGCCAGCCCGCGGGCGGTCCGGGAGCCTGCGAGCTGATGGACACCTGCCCTGGCGAGGACCCGGGGTTTCGGTAGCACTGTCCCTTTGCTGACTCCTTGAGAGCGCTCCGGCAGCGCTGCCGCTGGTCCCCGAGAGCCTGCTCGGGCTTGGCCCTGAGCGCCAGAGGCCGATTCCCACCCCAGAGGGGGCCCTTAGGCTCTGCAGCCGACTCCCTTAGCTTGAGAACTTCCCAGTGGGTGCCTCTGAGTTTGGGAGACGGGACCCCTGCTGTGCCGCCTGCCAACCCTGTGTCTGTTTTCGCCCAGAGGAGCTTGCCCGCCTTGAGACAGCTGACTCCTGACTCCGCAGCCTTCATCCAGCAGAGCCAGCAGCAGCAGCCACCCGCCCTGCAGGCCACCACTGCGCTCACGGCCGTGGTGCTGAGCAGCTCCGTCCAGCGCACGGCCGGGAAGACTGCGGCCACCGTCACCAGTGCCCTCCAGCCCCCTGTCATCAGCCTCACGCAGCCCACACAGGTTGGCGTTGGCAAGCAGGGGCAGCCCACGCCGCTGGTATGCAGGCGACAGCTCCTTACCCCCGCCCACCTGCCCGCCTCTTGGCTCAGGGAGGCCTGCAAGACAGCCTTGGGCGTTAGCTTCAGGGCTAAGCCAGCAGCCCGGGCCCCACAGCCTAACCCATTCCTCAGTGATGTGGAGTCAGCGTGCCGGCTCTCCCCACTGCCCACGCAGCACCTGCACCCCTGTGTGACCTGGCTCAAAGGGACACCATGTGTTTGCGGTGACACTTAGGTGGACGTTGCCTTTGATTAGGAGCCGTGGCCCCGATACGAGAACCAGCGCTGGTGTTGGGCGCGCAGGCAGCCCCATGAGCCTTTGTTTTGCGGTGTAGGTCCTGGCTCTCAGCGACGTTGGGCCTCGGGGATCCCAGGAGCTGCATCGGCTGCTGCCATTCAGTCCCTGGCAGTGTCGATCCCATTTTCTGAGCTCAGTGGGTGCAGAAAGGTTATCTTTGCTCCCGTAGAAGGATGGGGGTCTTTAAAAAATATTCAGACATTTTATTTCCTGTTATAGAAAAATGCAACTCAGGCTCCTTCGCTGTGCAGTGTATCTCAGGACGGTGCAACATTGTAACTCAGTGAGCACGGCATCCCCGCAGGGCCCTCCTGCCGCTCGGTTCGGCAGAACCGCTGGGTTTTGCTGGATCAGTGGTGAGGAAGTGGGCTGACCTGGGGCGGGGAGGTTGTGAGTGGCCTCGGGGCGGAGACGCCCATGTGACGGCTCCAGGCTCCTTGTCAGCCTGAGGCAGGTTGCTCTGGCCTTCCCTTCTGTGTGGCACGCGGACCTGCCCTGTTCGGCAGCCCTGGGGCTGATTTGGGCAGGAGCTGGGTTCTCTTCAGGAGACCCTGACGGGAAGCCATTTTTCTCAAAGGTTGATCTTTAGTGTGTGGTGAGTGACTTCATTGGTGTTCCCTGGTTTTAGACAGGCTTTGTTGACCAGCAGGATCTCTGTGTTGGCTTCCCGGTTCTGTGCAGCTTCGTGTGTGTGTGCGTGTGCGTGTGCACAGCAGTGGGCAGCAGATCCCCTGCTCTCCTTGACGCCTTGGAGACGTGAAAACTGGAAGCTTGCCCCTGGGTACGGCTGAGCCTGACCTGGACTGGCCCAGGCATCACTATCTTCGCCGCTCCTGCGCAGTGCGAGTTTTCACAGGTTTTGCTGTGGAAACAGTTTGATCCCAAGGCACTGTCCCGTCCCCTCTGTGCCCCGTAACACACCCACCAGGTCGCCTTCGTAACATTGAAACTGGCTCCAGGGGTTTGGGGCCAGGTCTCGTGGACTGTGTGGCTTTAGAAGGGCCTTCGGGTCTCCGGGCCCCAGCGGGCGCCTCGGCGTTGCCGGGTCTGGAGAGCCGCTGTGTGCGGGGCGGAGGCCTGGGGGGGACACGGAGGAGGCGGGCTGGGGAGCAGAAGCGAAGGGCAGGCGCGTGCTTGGCGGCAGAGTCAAAGGCACGTAGGTTCCTGCAGTCTCGGGTCCTGCAGGAAGGGGAGCAGCAGGCACTGAGCAGGTCAGGGCTTGGCCATGTCTGGGGACAGTAGGAGGCCCTTCTTTGAGGATGAAGTCAAGGGCAGGATGTAGGGAATCTAACCTCCCCCAGTGTAAATGCCACCTCGCCTCTTAGAATGAGGAGGAGGAACAGAAACTTGACCTGTAGCCCCAGACGGCCCTGTCACCTCCGCTGACATTCGGGGAGAGGTGGCCACTCCATGCTAGGCGATGGGCAGTGTCCTGGTGGCAAATCTGCCCTGAAGCGCTGATGTGGTGCCGGCTGTCTGACCCTGCCCTGACCTTGGCACGGCAGGGGGACGGTGGGGACGGTGCCCTGGCCGCTCTCAGTGCTCACAGGGATGTGACTCTGCCTCAGGTGATCCAGCAGCCGCCCAAGCCTGGAACGCTGCTCCGGCCCCCGCAGGTGACGCTGACGCAGACGCCCATGGTGGCCCTCAGGCCACCTCATAGCCGCATTGTGCTGACCACGCCCCAGCAGATCCAGCTGAACCCGCTGCAGCCAGGTGAGGCCGCTCACCGAGGTCCCGCTTCCGGCCTTCTCACTGTCCCGGGACACACGGCAAAAGGGACCACTAGCCATTTGAGTGTCTGGTTCGGTGGCTTTAACTGCCTTCCTGTGTGATCAGTCAGCACCTGTTAGTGCGATGCAGGCCTGTGACTTAGGGCCAGAAACCCGTGACTTTGGAGAAGCTGGTTGTGGTGGGCAGGGGTCCTCCCGGGGTCCCTGCTGCGCACGGGCACAACGCACACGCACCTACCTAGGGCTCCTGGTCTCGTTTCACAGTCTCGGTGGCGAAACCTGCTGTGCTACCTGGAACCAAAGCGCTTTCTGCCGTCTCGGCCCAAGCAGCTGCTACGCAGAAAAACAAGCTCAAGGAGCCCGGGGGCGGCTCGTTCCGGTAAGGGTGCGCTGCGTGCGCGCAGAGCCCGGGGCTCCGAGCTGTGAGCGGCCGCCCGCTGCGCGGCTTCGCGCCTGGTCGTGTGGCTGACGTTGGGCAGAAGGAAGGGCTGCGGTGACAGGAAGGAGCTGCAGGAAGTGTCGCGGGTCAGGAGGCTTTCATGCGACCTTGCTCCCCGGACACTTCTCCCCCATGGCCACGAGGCGGCCGGAGTTGGAGTCGGGTCAGTGTCTGAGCAGGGCAGCACGCCCCGGGCAGGTGCTGGAGGTGGGAGGTGGGAGGTGGGGTCACTGCGGAACAACGTGAGTGAGCGGAGGCTGCGGGACGGAGCGAGAGCAGCGTGAGCTGAGGGCCCAGTGGCGTCAGGATGGAACGGGCACCAGGGCGCCAGCTCCTGGTTCAGTGTAGACAGGGCTGACGTAGCTGCAGGTGGAAATTCCTCACTGCGCCCACTGAAGGTGCTTGGTGGCGGGAGCACCCCGCTCAGCTCTCACTTCCTCGCCCTTTGCCTGCCACGCCCAGGGCTCCTGGGGAAGCGGGCCCGGGCCAGCATCAGGAGAGAGCGAGGCGGGCTCAGCGAGTCTCTTCAGGTCAGAGACATGTGCAGGGCACACGGGGTGGGCCAGAGCTCACCGAAGGTGCCCAGTGGCCTCCCTCCGGCTGCCCAGTCTGGGGGAGCAGAGTGGACTCGCGGCTGGGACAGGAAGCCACGGCCCCGTGAAATGAGTGAAGTGGTGTGTGGGGAATGGGACCCCTACGCTTTCGGAGCACACCAGGTCCTCACTGACGGCCTCGGGGGGAGTGCCCTGTGAGGGGACGCCAGGTAGGGACCATGGCGCTGGCCCTCAGGATGCACCAGTCGGACCCCCAGCACTAACTGTCCCTGCTGAGGCAGTGAACGGCCCCGTGACTTGTGGGGAATTTCTGCCAAAGATGCATTTCTGCATCTTGTCACGAGGGGACATCAGTCAGATAGAAAACGAGGACACACTGCAAAACAAGTGGCCTATGACCTTCCAAGCGTGAAGGGCGCGCATCATGGAAGGGCTATGGAACGTTCCAGGCTTGAGGAGGCCAAGGAGACCCGGAGTGAGGGGCAGGATGCGACTGCACAGGACCCTCTGCTGTGGACGACGCTCTGGGACAGTCTGCAAAGGGCGGGTCCGAGTGCGGGGGTGGTGAGCGTGGTGGGGCCTGCTCTCCCAGGGCAGTCGTCTGGGTGCCCTTGTCCGCAGGGACTCCAGGGTGCGGTGTCGGTTGGCAGCACGCCTCCTAGTAGCTTGGGAAGAAGTCCCTCGTACGTGCCCGGTTTCCTGCGAGTCTGTGATTGTGCCATAGACAGATTGAGGCTCTGATTTTTGCAGAAGGCTCTGCTTGGGGAGCTCCTGGAGCGGGGAGCAGAGCGTTGTTGGGTTGTGCTGTCTGAACTTGGCACTGTCAGGAGCCCGTGCACATGTCCGTCCACGTGCAGACTCATGTCCGCGCGGGTGTTTCTTTAAAAGACCAGGTGTACTGTGAGAAGACCCCTGGGCTTCCTCGTGCAAGTGACCGCAGTGTGTGCAAGGCGGCTGGCGGGATGCACCCCTCAGACAGTGTCTGTGCATTCTACACGGGTCCCTTGTCCTCTGCCCCGTTTGTGCCCATGAGTTGGGGCCACGTGGACGGCTCCTGCAGTTCCCTGTGGCACAGTCACCTCCTGTTCTCATCCACAGGGACGATGACGACATCAACGATGTGGCTTCGATGGCCGGAGTGAACCTGTCAGAGGAGAGCGCGAGGATCTTAGCCACGAACTCGGAGCTGGTGGGCACGCTCACGCGCTCCTGCAAGGACGAGACCTTCCTGCTGCCGGCGCCTCTGCAGAGGAGGATCCTGGAGATAGGTGTGTCCCCGTTGCGCCGTCGCCGGGCGTCTGTGTCCACAGGCGGGTTTGGTGGGCACCGTGACACTAGTGCTCAGGGCCAAGCTGCCCCTGCCAGCAGCCCCCACCGCAGGCTGCCCGTGTCGCACTTCCTGCCGCTGCTCTGAGTCGCGCAGGGCAGCACAGCAGGGAGAAGGGAGTGTGTCAACGCTTGAACTGTTGCCTGGCCCTCAGGTAAGAAACACGGCATCACAGAGCTGCACCCCGACGTGGTGAGTTACGTGTCGCACGCCACGCAGCAGCGGCTGCAGAACCTCGTGGAGAAGATATCGGAGACGGCGCAGCAGAAGAACTTCTCTTACAAGGTGACGTGCGGTGCCCTGGCTGGTGCCCCTGCTGGCTGGCCCCTCAGTCCCCACAGATCAGCTGGGGAAGATCTCACGGCGGTGCACAGTGCTCCGGGTGCTCTGCCCCCAGGCACGGGAGGGAGGAGTGGGCGGCCAGGCCGAGGGGGGGTGACTTCAGCTCGGGCATAATGAGGTCTTGTGCCCATTCCCCCTGGGTCCCAGCTGAACCTGCAGACCGGGCTCCAGCCGCTCTGGGGACGTGGCACATGGCCTGTTGTGTTTGGAGGGTCACCTGCACCTGAGGCCCGGCCACCCCAGCAGGGCCAGAGCATCGTCTGCGTTCCAGCGTGGACGCTGTCCCGAGGGCCGCGGAGATACAGGCCCCGCCGAGCAGCAGTTAGATGGAAGCACAGAGCTGTTCTGCTCCGGGAGTGTTTGTTACTGTAGAAATGTTCAGATGTTATTTAAAAATTCAAACACTGAGGGGGGTGAAGTGGAAACTCCCCCCGAGCTTGCTGAGCCATTCTCTGCCCGTGGAAACGTGCAGAGGCCGTCAGGGGCCGGGGTCCGTGTGGACGCACCAGGGTCTGGGTCTGCGGGCAGCACCTGGGAGCTGGCTGGGAGGGGCTGCAGACTGGCCGGCTGGGTTTGCAGTTTATGACAAAAACTATTTTTCACTTTCTCTGCAGGATGATGACAGATACGAGCAGGCGAGCGATGTCCGGGCCCAGCTCAGGTTCTTCGAGCAGCTGGACCAGATCGAGAAGCAGAGGAAGGACGAGCAGGAGAGAGAGATCCTCATGCGCGCGGCCAAGGCACGTGCTGGGGCCAGGGCGGGGTCTGGGTGCAGTCAGGAGTGGGGCGGGGCTCGAGGCCCAGGGAGCCACGCGGGTGTGGCAGGCTGGACTGACTCCCCGCCCCGTGTCCTGCCCAGCAGGTCCCTGCAGGCGTGTCAGAGGCCGTATCTTAGTTTTATGTCCGAATGGTATTGTTTCCGAAGAATTGCGTGAGCTTCTGTCCCCGTGCTGTCAGCGGCTCCCATCTCGCAGCCTCGGCACCACCTGTGTGCCCTGTCGTGAGAGAGGGACATTCGGGTCGTGACTTACCTTTCTCCTTTACCTCTTTGAAAACAGTCTCGGTCCAGACAGGAGGATCCAGAGCAGTTAAGGCTGAAACAGAAGGCGAAAGAGGTGAGAGGCTCGTGTGGTCGGAGGTGTGCGCGCCGCACGTGCCGCGAGCGGGTGGGGGCGCGTTTCCTTCCGCAGCGCTCCTGTAGCTGCCTGGTGCGGCCCAGGGCCCCCAGGGCCGGCGGGTCCCACTTCAGACGTGTGCTCCTTTCCCGCGGGCACCTCCGGTCTCCGTGCTCTCGTTTACCTATTCATTGTCTAATCCTCACCCAGGGACATTCTCCTCTTTATCCTTAGATAGAGCGGGAGGGAGGGAGGGAGAGAGAGAGAGAGACAGAGAGAGAGAAACATTGACGTGAGAGAGACACACTGACTGGCTGCCTCCCGCACACCCTGACCAGGGCCGGGGACTGAACCACAACCGAGGCATGTGCCCTTGACCGGAGTCGACCCCGTGCCTCTTTGGTCCATGGGTTGACGCTCTGACCACTGAGCCAAACTGGCCAGGGATTAGATCTGTTCAGATGTTCTGAGCTTTTTATGATGAGCTTTTCTCACTGCATAATTATTTTATTTAAACAAAGAAGTCCCAATTAAAGACATTCTAATTTAGAAAATTGCTCCCAGCCCCTTGGTCTGTGCATCACTTTGGTGTGAGCCTGTGAGATGACCGTCTTGTGCCCTCCACACAGATGCAGCAGCAGGAGCTGGCACAGATGAGGCAGCGGGACGCCAACCTCACTGCGCTGGCCGCCATCGGGCCCCGCAAGAAGCGGAAAGTGGACTCCCCGGGACCGGGCTCGGGAACAGAGGTACAGCAGCGTGCGGGGCTGGAGGCTGGAGGGGGCCGTGGGGCACCTGGCTGCTCACCCTCTGGGGCTGTCCGGTGCACCTGGGAGAACGGGCATCCTCACAGGTCGGTGGGCGCTTGCTTGTAAACATTGCAGGAGCTGAGTTCTTTCCATCGGGGCTAAGCACCGTGGTCAGCAGGGGAGACCGAGGCTGATGGAGAGAGTGTGGGTTATAACTCAGGAGGACGGCCTGCACCGGGTGGCTGTTCCTGACGAACGGGACGCCTGCCCCAGCGCCGGGTCTGTGTCCCTGCTGAGTGTGGGCATGTTGTTACATGTCAGGGCGTGTTGTTACATGTTAGAAACCCAGCCTTGAAGGTCGCTGTTTCCGCTTTACACCGTCAGTTGTTTTTAAACTGAATCACAGGAAGAGGAAACACTGTCTGATTGCTGCTGCTTCTGCCCACTTCTGGGGCCTGCCGTCCCCCCAGCCCATCCCTCGGCCTCAGTGCTGCACAGTTGGCTGGTGGAGGGACCTTGCTTTGGATCGCTGAGAATGGTCGTATTTCTTTCTCAGCTTTCAACAATGTCTTCCCCAGGTATAAAATCCTGGGTTGACAGCCTTGTTTCTTTTTCTTTCAAGTCTTTTTAATTTGAGATTTAACTTCTACATTCTTGAATAAGCAAGTAAATCCAGATACATATTGTTTAATTTTATGGAACAATAGACTAACGAGGACAGGTGAATCCAGGATTGGCCACCCTCGACAGGTTCCCTCTGTTTCCTCAATCCCTCTAGTTGACCAGTGGGCTCCTTCCTGTCCTCAGAAAATCCTGTCCTCATGTTATGTTTTCTTGTCCAGATCACAGCAAAGCAGGGGCTAGGTAGTATGCTCTGTGGGGTTGCAGACTCTTCCCTTCAACCTGACGCCCAGAGACCCGGGACTGTCGCTTCCTTCAGCTGGTGCTCGGCCTCGGAGCCCCGGGGGAAGAGATCACACGCTGGGTCTCTGTCCCTGTCCTGTGTTTCCCTTCTCTGCCTTTTTTTTTAGATTATCGTCTTAGTATTTAGAAGTTTGTCTGTGTTGTGTTTAGACTTAGTTCCATTGATTCTCAACCTGCTTGAGGTTCTCAGATCTTTAGGGGAGCGTTTTCCAGCGACTTTGGAATATTTTGGCTTTTATTTCTTCAAAGTTGTTTCCTGTCTGGCCTCACCCTTCTCTGCAGGGCCTCCCAGTTACACAGACATCCCCTGTGTCCAGACTGGACGCTTTCTGCCGACGCACCTCAAGCTCCCGGCGCGTCTCCAGGCCGTGCCGCGCTCGGGGAGGTGCGTTAGCTCATGCCTTTGGCATTGTGGGGTTTCCCTGCGGTCTCTGTGGTCGTAACTCGCTGAGGTCCCCGTCTGCCCACTGTTGGAGCCTGTGTTTCCCTGCACTCGGAATCTGTCTGTGAAAATTGCTTAGTGTCTTTGTCCAGTCTGACCTCTGGGCCGACTCATCTCAGGCCGCCTTTGTCCCCGACGGGTCGCTCTTCCCGATTCTCTGCGTGTCTGGTGATTGTTGATCGAATGCTGGCTGCCGTGCGGCGTGCTGAGCGACCGCGGCGTGTGCGTGACCGCGGCGTGTGCGTGACCGCGGCGTGCGCGTGACCGCGGCGTGCGCGTGACCGCGGCGTGCGCGTGACCGCGGCGTGCGCGTGACCGCGGCGTGCTGAGCGACCGCGGCGTGCTGAGCGACCGCGGCGTGCTGAGCGACCGCGGCGTGCGCGTGACCGCGGCGTGCGCGTGACCGCGGCGTGCGCGTGACCGCGGCGTGCTGAGCGACCGCGGCGTGCTGAGCGACCGCGGCGTGCTGAGCGACCGCGGCGTGCTGAGCGACCGCGGCGTGCGCGTGACCGCGGCGTGTGCGTGACCGCGGCGTGCTGAGCGACCGCGGCGTGCGCGTGACCGCGGCGTGCGCGTGACCGCGGCGTGCCTCCGCTGACGAGCGCTGTTCGCGGTCCAGCAGGCCCGGCTGCTCGGCTCCGCCTCACGTCGGTGTAGCGCAGGGGGCTCCTCTGACCCAGCCTCTCACCTGCAAATCCACCTTCCCCGTCCAGGTGGGTTTTAGGTTTTGCTAGGCTGGGTCTTATCTGGGGGTGATCCTTACCCCTGGATGCCAGGAGCGTGACTCAGGTCTCCCCGCAGCAGGACACGCGTGTGCTCACCCAGGAGTGATGCACGGCTGCTCGCGGTGCACGCCTCGGGCCCGTGGGGGCTGTGCTTGGTGCTGACCACTAGTCTGGACGGCAGCGTCTGGTCGCTGCTTCCGTCTTTCTGAATCTCACGCCACCGGCCGCTTTTGGCATGGTTCTCGGGCACGATGTTCCCCACATCTCGCATCTTGATAACTGCTTTCCTGCTCGAAGGCGGTTTTGACGGCCGCGAAGTCCTGGAGAACCATCCGCCGCTCCAGGTGGGTCTCTGGAGAGGGTGCTCCGACAGGTGCGAGTTTCTCGGCAGGTCGTGCCTTCTTTCCCAGAGAATTCTCTTTTCCAGACCTGTTCATTTACTTGGAGTTGGTGGTTCTGGATTGGCCTTCTCAGTGCAGGTGTGTCCTTTATTTTCTTTTGTTAATCCTCATCTGAGAATATTTTCCCATTGATTTTTAGAGCGGAAGTCAGGAAGGGGGCGAGAGAGAGAAACATCGATGTGAGAGACGCATCGATCGGCTGCCTCCCACATGACCCTAACCCAGGCCAGGGGTCGAACCTGCAACCCTTCGGTCCGCGGGCCAACACTCTAACCGCTGAGCCAAACGGGCCATGCTCTTGTGTTCTTTTTAGTTCAGTCTTCATTTCGCAAATGACAGTTTATTTTTCATTTCTACTTCCTAATTCTTGGCCTTGTCGCCTTATTTCTGTGTTGCCAGTTCCGACTCTTGCCCTCCTTCCACCCTGTCGTTCTTTCTGCAGCGTCGCTGGTGTTCGGGACGAGCGCGTCGCCGCTGTCGCCTGCTTATGCGGGGCTTGCTCTGCTCCTTATTCCCGCTCCTCCTGTGGCGTCACGTGCGGGACGCGCTTTCGATGCTTTTCCGTGGCTCACGCTTGTGGATTTGCTCTCCCGACCTTGTAAGAGCAGTGTGCTCTCAGGGAGGGGTGTGGCTCGACGGGCCCCTCCTGCATTGTTTCCGTGGTGATAACTGGGCGCTCGCATTCGGAGAGTCCAGGGCTTGGCTCCCTGCCCTACCCACCTGCACCTTCCTCCGTCCCCGCGGGCTCTCCTGCTCAGCTCGGTTCCCTGGCGGGGCTGCCGTGTGCGGGGCAGAGCCCAGGTTCAGCTCCTGCTCTGGAAGGAGGCCGCTGGGCTCGCAGGCCTGGTGCGGCCGGTTGCCCTTCTCCGGCCGAGCCAGGCTTGCGATGCCGTTCGGGGGTGTGGCTGTGAGGTGCCGCTTGTCTCAGGGTTGCTGCTGGTTGCTCTGGGTTTTATGTGGGCCTTTGGCAAGACCCTAAAAATGCTGCCCCTCTTACCATCTCCCCTGAATATGTTGATGAATGTCTTTCACAATGTTTTTAATTTTAGATAGTTTCAAACCTCTAGAAGAGTTGTAGGAATACTACAAAGCACTGCTCTCAGATTCTCAGTCTGAACACTTTATTACATGTTCTCGTTCACCCCCACATACATGTGTGTGCGTGTTTGCATGTCACATATATGATATTTTACATTTGCAGGGCGGGGCACAGCAGATTTAGGGCTATGGGTGCAGGGAACACTGAGTCAGCCTGTGTCACTGACACTGACCGTTGCGTTGTCTCTGACACGCTGCACGGGACTGCTGGCATCGGGCTCGGCCGGCTCTCTGCCCAGGCCCCGCCCACCACCGTGCTGGGGCCCACGTGCTTCTCTCTGGTGCAACCTGTGGCCTCGTTAGTCTCTTCTGAGTGGCCCGATTCTGGACAGGGTCAGAGGTCAGGCCTTCGGGGTTGCTGGTGTTCTGCTCTGGTCATCAGTCTGTGTGGACCTCTGCACCTGTGGTGATGTTGACGGTCACCTGTTCCTGTGCGGTCACGCTGCGCCGTCCTCCGGGATGTGCCAGGCGGTGAAGACCTCAGCCTGAGCGCCAGCCCTGCGTGGACACCGCGTGGTGCCGGTCCTGGGAAGGGCTTTCCTCCTCCCTCGCCCTCGTCCCTCCACCGCCTGCGCGGACTGGCGTGTTCCTGCTGTGCTCAGTGGGTGGTAATCAGTGCTCTCGTTATTTCTAGATGGTCAGTGGAGGCTTCTTCAAGCTGCCCTCTATATCCTTTTGGAATGTCGCCTCATTCAAGCACCCGCTTTCCACCCGCGTGAGGGCCCCAGGACCCGTGCACCTGCCCACCCCCACCCGCAGCAGCTCCGGAGCCTGGGTTCCTCTCTGGGCGGGCGCCCCTGCGCATACGTGTGTGCGTGTACGTGCTGTGTGGCACGCATTGGCATGTGTGCTGCGTGTCATGTGTGAGTGCATATATGTACCTGCGTGCGTGCACCTCTTTCTGTACCTAGAGCCCGCTCTGTGCCGATGGTGGGACGCACTGGGGTCCGGCTCCCCGGAGCCTCTGCGTGCCACCCTTGCCTGCAGATCCTTTCTTGGAGCAAACTGGTGTCCGCCTCCATAGCACACATGTGTTTGCTCAGTGTGACCGAGTGCTGGCCACGGCCGCTGCTGCGTCCCTGTGCGAGGAGGGCGGGCAGGTTCCGGGACAGGCTGTTGGTTACCTTGTGGGTGTGGAGCTTGCCACCAGGGACGGCGTGGTGTCTTCGTGCCTGTCGGCTCCGCCCGTTTGAGCGTGAGGGACACTTCTGTGTCATGTATGTGACTGTTCCCATCGAGTCCAGACTCGAACGTCCTCTGCTGCCCTTCATCACAGATGGTGCTCAGTTTCTTGTCTTTTTTCCTTCTTCCGAGTTTAGGAATATTTTCTTGGTATGTCTTTTTTATTTTATTTAATTTTTATTTTTTATTTAATTTTTATTTTACTTACTCTGCTCTTCTGTAAGAACA